CTGAGAACTGGAGGAATTTGTTGTTGATGATGTGGCAATGATAATGATAATAGCTTATAAAAGCAGTGATACTGCTTATTGTGTGCCAGGCACAGTACTCAGCCTTTTCCATGTATTATATAATTTTAATCTTCACAGCCAACCTAGACGTAGATACTGTTATTATCCCCATTTTACAGATGCAGAAACAGAGGATGAGAAAGTTAAACCCAGTAGGTGTTAGAGCATTGGACTCCAGGGCTCTGGCCTTAATGGTCAAGTAGATGGTGTTTCTTTTTAAGTGGACAATGGGAATGGCAGGAGAATAGTCACTCCCATTACTAGAAGAAACACTTCTGAGGAGCAATGAGCTACCCATTTGGGCAGGAACTCAGGATGAGGGGTCAGCGATGGCAGTAGTGGAATTAGATAGCCTGGGTTGGAATTCTGAATCTGTCACTTGCTGTGTAACCGTCGGCAAGTCCCTCAATTTCCTTTTGCCTCGATTCCCGTTTCTAAAAGGGGAATAATGATATATTCTACCTCATTGGGTTGTTACATTAAATGACATATACATATACAAAATGCTTCTAACAGTGCCTAACACATAGTAAGGACTAAGATAAAAATTAAAAATTATTGATATTATTTTTAGTGGCCAAAAGGCCTTAGAGGTGGGTTGGGCAGGCCTAGAGGCCCAAGAGTAGGAGGCCCAGACCAAGGCAGTAGGAACTTCTGTTGGCTTGTGAGCAGGTCTGTGATAATAAGGCGGTGGTGTGTCGATGAATGGAGAAGGGGTAAGTCAGGGATCGGGAAGCCATTTCAAGGCTACTGCAGGGCCCGAGAGGTTAGGCATTGGGGTCCCAAGTGGGTAAGGGCTGCCAGGAACGAATAGCTACTTTGGCCTTAGCCACATGGGGGCACTCGAGGCAAGCTTCCCTGAGCATAGAAAGGAGCTCCTAGACCTATGGGGGAGATAAAAGAAAGTTTATAGGGGTTGGGGGCATTTCTTACCCATGAGACATACTTTCCAGACTCCTATTATCTCCTCCAACTCTGTGCTCCCAGCCTGACCAGAAGCTGGAGGGGGCTGCACATCCCCAGGAGGTTGATAAAGGGAGCTAAGAATGTTATGGTGGTGAGACCCAGCGCCTGGGGCTGAGGTGGGAGAAAAGTCCTCTTAATGCCCCTAATCTGGGGGTAGCAGTCCCACCTCCCTGATTCAAGGTGTGGCTGGAAAATCCTGCTCAGTGCTGACTTCTCAACCTTCTCACCTGTAGCTGGATGCTCCGGGGCCAGCGGATGGGCCCTTCTTCCACAGTGGTGGGTGATTAGGGGGTTAACACAAGGCCACTTCCTTCCCATTGAAGCCTCATCCTCTGTGCAGTGAGAGGGCCAAGGAGATGCTAGGGTCTTTGCAGCCAAGACCAAAACCATCCAGATGGGTAGTAGGGGCCCAGCAAACTCTTCATAAGGGAACCCCATCAGCCCTGTCTGCATTGCCATCTGGGGGGTCTTCCTAAAGGATGCTGGGGTCACTCTGATAATGTCCAGTCAGCAAGTGAATTCATCAGTCTCCTGGGAGGTACGGGATTTGAGCCTAGGGTGTGGGTGAGGCCCACCATCTTGCCTTGATGATGGGCCTCAGGGCTGAAGGATCAGCCAATGGTTTGACATCTCAGTCACCCCAGCATGTTGGTTTGTCCTCAGTGCTGGAGCTTTGGCAGCTGAGAGTTCCTGACATCTCGTGTGTGTGCGCCTGAGGGGAGTAATGCTCCTGGTCTGAGCTTGGGAAACCTCGCAGCTTCTGTGCCTCCGGCTCCCTTCCTTCCAGAGCCACCACCAGAAAGCCTCAAGGAAGTCTGGCCTAGCTTTTCTTATAATGGCTTGGGTGGGGGTCATGGTATGGGGGTGGAACTGTGGATGGTTAGGAGAGCATGATTTTTGCTCCCAGACTCCCTTATCTGCTAGAGAAAGAACAGAAGGAGCTGCTGGGAGGCTGCCCTGCTAGGCAGACAGCAGAGGAATGAGCCGGGATGCTAAGTGGGGCCAAAATCCCAAGATTCTCTGGGACACCAGCATTGGCTGGAGGGATGGAATTTGGCAGCTGGAATTTTGTGGGATGGAATTTTCTGCTCAGGTAGGATCATTGTTTCCTTTCTGGGTCTGAGGCAACTGTTCAGGACTTTGTGTCACCTGTGAGCCGGTATGGTATAGGTTGGCCTTGTCCCTGGGACTCCTGCTCTCTGTGCCCATGGAGGTAGGCCAGGAGCTCAGAAGCTTGTCCCTGAGCCAGCCTTGGCTGAAGAGAGAATGGGGAGGGATGTTGCCTAGGGCCACTCATACTCTCCTGTGCTGCCCTGCCATGCCCTGGTCTGCAGGATTTTGTATGAGTAGGTAGCTTTGGATGTCAAACCATCCTCCTGGGGGAAGCAGGGCAACAGCTAAGAGTTCTCTGAGCTTGGCTGCAGCCAGGTAAGACAGATGGAACACAAAATCAGCCAACTAGGTAGTAAGTACCCTGCCGTTTCATGCTCCCTAACCTTTCACTCCATCAGCAAATAGCCACTGAACAGTTTCTATGTGCCAGGCACTGAAGATGTTATTGTGAGCAAGACAGACACTGTCCTTGCCTCCAGAGGTTTGAGAAGATCAAGTGAAACACAGGATAGGATGTGGAAATGTAAAATAGGAGGTGCCTCACAAGCGAAGCCATTGGTGTCCTGGGAAGCAGCATGGGACAGGCAGAGTATCTAGGGAAGCAGAGCAGGAGGGGTGGAGGGCGGGGAACCTATCCTTGCTCCACTCTGTAATGGAGCTGACACATCTCAAACTGCCAGGCCCAGGGCCACTGGAGCTCCTTCACGCAAGTGAGCTGTCACTAACAATGCCAAGTTCAGACAGCAGAGGGCAGCAAAGGGCCTGCCTGCCTCAGAGAGTGATGGGAACATGGTCATCCACCTTCTCTTATGGGTATATGCAGGTGGCTCCTCTCATCCAGTCCCTTGGAAGTCCTCGGCAT